CGTTTTGGAGAGAAATGGGCTCTCATTTTAACCCATATCATGGTGTGTGATGCTGAACTATGAGTTTCTAATGGTGTTTGTATTTGCACTGTTCTAAACATTAATATTTTATGTGCAACAACAGCATATGCTGTCTCGGTGGCCTTACACATGATTTTAAATCTATTTTTTCAAACTTTATGATTTAAATGGGGATGATTGTACTGATAATAACTTTAATCTTTTCTTCAACTGAATACTGTTTCCGTGTTTTGATGTATTTTAAAGAGTTGGCAGTCAAAATTAAAACTGCTGGATGAAAGATATTCTATCAAGATACACAAACAAGATAATGTGAATCACAGAATGTACAACGTTTTTAAAATGTATCAAATGCGGTGTACAGTGTTTATTATGAGGGGGTAGAATCCACAGCTCAGTACTCACTACTCAATACTCATGAGTACTTTTAAATAGGCTACTTTTTTACTCTTACTCAAGTAGTTTTTTTGGACAAGTACTTTTACTCTACTCGCACTACATTTTTGGAAGGTAATGGTACTTTTACTTGAGTATATTTTTTCAGTACTCTTTCCACCACTGATATCCGCACAATTCTCAGTTTCCGCTTGTAGAAACTATGGCAACAAACGGACACAAGTGCTGCTGTACAGTTAAACTAAATCCATTACGGCTGTCGCAAATAAAGTGAAAATGAAATTAAAAAAGTGTTGACCGCAGCATTAAATTTAGATCTGCTCAATGTTGCGCCATTATTTTTTTACACATTTTTACAGTGTTGCGCATTATAACCAATCACACACTAGTCTGTTGAGCTTATGAATGCAATGGCCAATCAGAGGCGTTCAGATGAGTTTTTTTGTTCACTGCACACGCTCGTGACTGAATTCAGCTCTCACGCGAATTCTCTTATCATAAACAACAAAGTGCAGATATAATAATAATAATAATAATTAGTTACATTTATATAGCGCTTTTCTGGGTACTCAAAGCGCTTTACATGAAAGCGGGGGAATCTCCTCAACCACCACCAGTGTGCAGCATCCACCTGGATGATGCGACGGCAGCCATATTGCGCCAGAACACCCACCACACACCAGCTTATTGGTGGAGAGGAGACAGAGTGATGAAGCCAATCAGTGTATGGGGATGATTAGGAGGCCATGATGGTCAGAGGTCAATGGGCAGATTTGGCCAGGATGCCGGGGTTATACCCCTACTCTTTTCCGAAGGACATCCTAGGATTTTTAATGACCACAGAGAGTCAGGACCTCGGTTTAACATCTCATCCGAAGGACGGTGTTTTTACTGTATAGTGTCCCCGTCACTATACTGGGGCGTTAGGACCCACACAGACTGCAGGGTGAGCACCCTCTGCTGGCCTCACTAATACCTCTTCCAGCAGCAACCTAGTTTTCTCAGGAGGTCTCCCATCCAGGTACTGACCAGGCTCAACCCTGCTTAGCTTCAGTGGGCAACCAGTCTTGGGCTACAGGGTGATATGGCTAATGTAAGTATGATGTAAGAGATTCATTCATCAAACCATGTATAGACAGCTTTACTGATTATAAGGGGAGTTTTTTGAGAGTGCTTAAACTCGCGCTAGACTTAAGTCAGTCATAATGTTCTTTGACAATGTAAATGTTCTTTGCTCGCATTCTCTTGTATCATTTGTTTGCTGTTTGAATAACTGTGGAAAGTACAGGTAATAAAAAAAATAATTCATTACCTCAGCCAGGAACATCCTCCTTCATAGCGTCATCAAGCTTCGCCTTAAAAATGCGACCTCTAGTGGTGAAAACTTACATATTGTGCCTTTAAAATAAAGTTTAACCAAAAAATCTTACTGACCCCAAACTTTTCAGCTGAATTTCAGCTACAGTAAAGCTATTGTGGCCTATTTACTTTAGTTCAGAAATTCTGTTCTGTTTCATTCTGTTCATATAACACAAGTTTTATCATCTTTTGTTAGCAGCCACTGACTGCTTTGATGCTGTCCAGACAAGACACAGGCTCAAGAACCTGTCCAGAAAACATATTTTGTGAGGTCTGCATATTAAAAAGATCTAAAAAGCTGTTATGGAACTGTTTTGACATTTACAATATGCACACTTAAGCATATTCAGATATAAGTCTAAGTTATTGTTATGACTTTATATATTTTGCTTTTTAGTCTCTTGTTTTGACAATGCACCAGTAGTCTGAATGAATTGCAGTTTTTTATTTTTCTGATTTTAGAGCTTCTACATCCATACATTTTTATCAGTTTTGTTGCCATGCCCAAAGCTTTGCCCTTGGCAGAATACGGCTGGCTACATTATAGGGATCTAATCATGTTATTAGACTGACCGACCCTGGCAGTAGACACAGGGACACTAATCACCAACAGACCGCACTGCTTTCTTAATGTGTCACGTTCCTTGATCATGTGTGCTCTCTTTTAGGGTACTATAGATTTTATTTCTTGCTGTCTGGTGTTCATTGTACTCAGAATTACAGGAAACAGATTTGGACAGACCAGTGTTTTATGATCTTAGCAACTAACTGTAAAACTAAAGCCAAAATAGAAATTTAATGTAACATGCACTACAGAAATCCCCTACCAAGCACCAACTCTTCAACAAGTACACGACAATAGAAAGCTTAATAAAAGCCTTTTTACCATAGCCTTTAATTATTTTGCACATGATCTCGAAATACACTGTGCTTATCTTTTGGTATACATCAGGATGAAGGGTAATTTGGCCCATATACTGAGATTAAGTGTACCGTTTTTTTTTTTT